TCGTAGGTTCTTCAATTAAATTTTTGTTAGAAAATTTTCTCATAATTTTTAATAATTACTCATAGAATGAGCGCTTTTTCATAAATACTCATAAATACTCGTAAAATACAAAAATTTTTCTATATTATTTTTTCATAATTTTTAAGATTTTCTCTGGTGAGATTCGAACTTGAACCGAAGACATCTTTTGGATAATCGTCCGTCGCCTTGGACACTACACCAATTCCTCATTTGATAAAAAGTGCTTTGTATTCCACACTTAAAGTTTAAAGAAGAAAAATCTTGGAGTTTGTTCGCCTTTTAAACCGCAAAATATAGATGAAACCGTTTAGCGTCTAAATAATGTAAGAGAGACCGGCACGATAATTCGAAATTAATTTTCTACCAAGGATTGTATAGAAAATTACTGCAATAAAACAGCAGATAATGACATTTTTCCATCATGCTAATAAAATACTGTGCTTTTACATGTGCGAATTAATTTGGTCGATCGTCCAGTTCAGATTGTATTAAATTTTATCAAAATTTAAGCATGATATATTTTCAAATAAATCATCATAAAAATTCTGTAAAAGTTTAAAATCCTGTAAAAATTATTTACATTGGCGAGACTAGTATTTTATTTGGTGCTGCTGCCTTCAGTACTTATTGCATTACGGTTAAATCGTTCAGATTTAATGACATAATGACATTAAAAAAAATAATAATATGAGAAATTGTATGAAAAATTAGAAGAACAATTTTTACCAGAGATGGGATATATACATCTTTAAATGGCCATTTTAATTGACTATTTAACCGTTGTACTATTCTATACTTGTACTCATTATTTCTCTATCGTTGCTTTTTTATCAGAAATGTGTAATACAATTTTAAAAAGTAAAAATTGTTTTTTGTTGTGTATATATATACAATTATGGCACAATATAATTATCTTAACAACCTCTCGGAGTTTTACATGGTGTATATGTGAAACTGTCTCATTTAATAACGTACATACGACCCTTGATAGAATTAAATGGCCTATCTAGGAAACAGAATCTGCGCATAATCTGCTGTCAGTCTGTCGTCAGAGTCTGTCGACAGGTTCTGCGCGCAATCAGTCACCAATCTGTCGTCAGAATAGATTCTGTGTGCAATCTGTTGTCATTATGTTTACAGACACTGCTGACAGACTTTGCGCAAAATCTGCTCGCGCACGTTTGGCTATCTGGGTATTATTAGTCAAAAAGTTTTTCGCTTCATTTTTAAGGATGACTGATCCACTACACAAGTTTCACCGTTTTATGATTACCATTTTTGTGTATGTTAATGCATTTTACGTAGGAAATTCATAAGAAAACAAAAACCATCTAACGAGTAATTTGAAATTTAGATATAAAAATGTTACACAACATAAATATAATACAAACAATATACTTGCTATATAACATGTTATATTGGAGTTATATTGCTGTTATAAAAAAATTGTGCAAATTTAAAATTAATAATCGTTATATTATGTATTATTTTTCCATGTTACATAATAATTATATTATGTTATATAATAACTACCCAGTGAAAACAAGTTAGTCAAAATGATGTCGAATTGCCTTCAAATGGATGAAGAATATAATGTCAAAATGAGTGATCAAAATGACGGCAGAAATGATTGCAAAACGTCCCATTAATTGGTAGTCATTTTGACTATCATTTTGATGTCATTTTGATGACAATTTGATGTCTAAGTAAAAATGAACACCAATGAACACCAAGTAACAATAACATAACACCGATATTATAATTTCCCACTCAACAATATAAATGCAATATAATACATGTGTTATGTAAGTTACATATTACAAGTTAAGTAGCACATTATAACATCGGTTTTATGTTATTATTATTTGATGTTCACTTGAGTACTTTTTGTAGGAAAAAATGCTAGATTATGGAATAGGAGCATAGACAAATTAAATGGGTATCAGTGGACTATAGTTGCGAACACAGCTAATAATATTATTAAAATTAAAACATAATCTTACCCAAATAGATAATTTGATTGACTGTGGACAATTGCAACGGGAGCAAGCGGGACGCTTCCGACAAATAAAATGCAAAAATATTACATATGATTTTTTATTCTGGTGTAGAGGAAAATAGCCAAAAGCAACATAGCCCTTTTAAAGCGACATACCTCTCTATCTCATATATTAAATGTTGTATTTTATCGAAACTAATATAAACGTAATCCGTTTTATTAGTTAAGTAATAAAAATGCATATTTAGTATATTTCTCGTTTCTTTATATGCTAAATTATTAAATATCGAGTTTTAAAAATTCGCAAGTTTTACTTCTACGATTTTTATTGACGAATTACGTAGACTAAAAAGCGATAATTATCATTTTGTTCAATATTAAGTTCTTCTACATGCTTTTGTAAAAATATTTTTTGAATATTTTTATGTTCATCACTTTTTTACTGTATAACTTGAAAATTTTTATGAGAATGTGTTTTAAAGTGACATACCTACAGCGATATTCTGTGACTAACATAACTTGATTAATGATCCCTCCCATTGTGACGTGACATTTATTGTAAAGTTTAATTTTATTTAGTTTAGAAATATAATATATGTAAAATATGTGAGAAAATGAAAAAGATAAAAAAAGATATGTATTTATTTAATTATATTTCCCTTTTATAACATTATGTTTTGAATAAATGAATATTATTCAACTATTAAACGTATTAATGAACTATTTATTATTAAATATTATCATATATGCGACATGTTATATAAATTCTAATAGGTATGTCGTTTTTGGCACTTATTTTCTTTGAACTCCATTTTCGTGCGTTTTACAAAAACATTTTTTGTTTTAAATCTAGAAACAATTTCAATAAAAATGTGATATTATCTGATAGGAGGTACTTCCAATTACATGTATATATATCAACATTTATATTTTGAGCTTTATATTAAGACATAACGTTCAAAAACAAAGTGATATGTCGCTTTTAATGCCTTTACTCTACAATCAATTACTAAAAGGTTGACCGGTTTACTAAAAAGTTTGTTCCTTTGTAACTTTAAAAACCTGTCCGTCTTATCCAATGAGAGAATTTATAGAAGAACTCTCTCGTTGGATAAGATGGATAAATTCCTAAAGTTACAAAAAATAAACCAGACAAGTAACCGACTATTCTTTAAATTACTTCGGCTTCTTAAAGGCTGAGTTTTATTTAACATTTGTATTCATCTAATGGATCGCGAACGAAATAAATTGGTAGTGAACAGTTATGTAAGCTTATATTAACGCGCCAACAAGAAAAAAGTTAAGAAGTGGTTCTCGATAACTTTCCGTTTACAAGAATTTTCCGTTCCTACAGCCCTTAAGGCAGAAAGTTATCGAGAGCCTACTGTATCACAATATATATATTACGATTAAAAAACAACGCCGCAATATATACAGGGTCAGGCATTTAAAACAGGTCACCTGAATAATTCGTTTGTTTTTAACAATAGAAGGAAAAGTGCCAAACAAAAGTTGCTTAGTTTCGAGGAGTACATAATGTGATGTCAATAATTTTTTTTGTAAGTGGAGGTGTAGAGGATAAGCAAAAGTCAAATATGTTTTTTTAAATGGAATGATATGTTTTTTTATTTACATTCTGATCGAGCGTTTTATGACGAATACAATGACCTATAATTGAAGGTTATTCAAGGTTACGCAAGGTCAATGATGGAAAATAATTGAATGGAAAGTAAATTGTTTCAAGGCATTCTTCGAATAATTTTGTATCTTCTCTGCTTGTTGTTATATCACTTTTGTAATCGTTTAAGTGTACCACGGTATAGCAACAAGCAGAGAAGATACAAAATTATTCGAAGAATGCCTTGAAACAATTTATTTTTCATTCAATTATTTTCCATTATTGGCCTTGCATAACCTTGAATGACCTTCAATTATAGGCCATTGTATTCGTCATAAAACGCTCGATCAGAATGTAAATAAAAAAACATATCGTTCCATTTAAAAAAACATATTTGACCTTTGCTTATCCTCTAGGCCTCCACCTACAAAACAATTTTTGACATTACATTATATGCCCCTCGAAACCAAGCAACTTTTGTTTGGCACTTTTCCTTCTGTTGTTAAAAACAAACGACAAAGTTATTCAGGTGACCTGTTTTAAATGTCTTACCCTGTATATTACATTACAAAACCACGCCGGAAATTCTTCTCGAGATCATAAGAGAATAAGTCAAAAAGACTCATCATCCTGTAGTTTTGATGTCAACAAATTTTGACGTGGATTACATTTTTGCCTATAATACCACAATTATCATCTAAACATCCATTTTTACCTTTTTTTATGAAATTCTATTGCCCACAACGTCAATTTATTTGATATCAATTTTTTGTGAAATTGAATTATTTTTTTGACGCAATGACAACAAACGACGGTTTTAATGTCATATTGACATCATTTTGACCTAAGCTGTTTTTTATATTTTGTGTTTACAGGGGATTTTATCCGTCACTCTATGTACGCGTGAAGTATTAAGATAAGATTATCGAAAAATAAATATTTTATAATATATTTTGTATGTTTTATACTGAAGAATTTCAATATAAAATATAAAATATTTCGGAAAAAGTTTTTCGATGATTTTATCTCAGTACTTATATACATATTATTGTATTTGTATTTATATATTATTGTATAGAAGTATTGTATAGAATAACATACTCTAGGAATCAATTTATCTAAAAAAATCCCTTTGATTCTATTTAAAACATTCAATTTGATCTTAAGAAAACCTTGATGCATCTATCACGAGATCAAAGCCAATAATGAAAAACCAATAATTTAAAATTCTAAAATTGTTGTCTAATACATTTTTTTTACAAAATATTTTATTAACGAAACATTAAACCGTCCCGAGACTAATATTTTGTATGTTATTGTGATATCAAATAACAGATTTTATATACACACAAACAATCTTACCTATTATATGTAGAGAACGGACTGTTGTTTGACCCGTACCAAGGATCGTTTAATGAATCTCCAGCATTTCCTTCGTAACCATCTATTTCCAATTTATAATACTCTCCTTCTGAATAAATCTTGAAATGTGAATATTGAGCATACCTAAATTAAACCAGTATAGTTATAATAATGGAAACTTTCTTAATTAATTTTATACTTACATTCGCGCAGCCTATAGTCAGTTTGAAAAGTATAAGATTACATTTACTTGTTATTAATATTCTTTAATAATAATTTTAATAATGTACATTATTAAAGTATCGCAATAATCGACCTACATTTTACGTATATACCTTTTGTTACCTTCGAAGTCTTCAAGTTCAACTCTAAGCATGTAATCTTCGTTATTTGTCAACATATATATGTTTTCATTGCCTAGCCAAAACTCTTTAGCAGGATCTCCGAATCCATTTTTATAATCTGCCCAATCTCTATTAAAATTCTCTTTTGGTTCTCCAAAATCATCTCTTCTTTGGATAACCTTCAATCAAAAATTAATGATAAAAAATATAACACATAACAGCATGTTAAAAAATGTAATATGTATACCGCTCAATGATGATAAACTTACCGTCCAACCACCATCGGCGATTTCCTGTTCGCAATAGACTTTCAGAAACCAATATGTCGTGCCGCGTATTTGAAGATAGTAGACTCCATTGTCTCTCATTCCTGCGTTTAATAAATCTACGCAAGAATAACCCTAAATGAACAATATACTTTATTACGGAGAATAATATTAAAAAGAATAACATTGTAGAAAATAACGATAAAAATTTTGAATATATAGAAACAATTATCCTGATTGAAGTAAATTCATATGACAGAAGTGAAAAAACTTGTTGAAACATCTTAAACAATTAAAAATAATACATAAAGGAACCGTGCAAATAGTCCAAATACCTTAACATCCTTATAATTAATCAATATATCACTAGTAAAACTGGAGTTCGCTAGACTCGGTTTGTTTTTCACGCTTGGGAAGATGACTCCACGATTTCTACTGGTTGATCTGGGTGTACTCGATGATGTTGCTGTCATGGGAGTTGTGGAGACCGCAGGATTGTTCGAAGGCGAAGCGACTGACGATATCGATGTTGTTGTTGATAAAGACGGTGCAACAGTAGGCAATATAGACGTTGTAGGTATCTCCGTTGAAAAATCTTCGGTTACACTGATGTATCTTAAAATAAATAATATTACGTTTTTTTTTTGAATTATGTTAAAACTAAACATTATGTTTGATAAATTTGAGAAAGAAAATATTAAACACGTAAATTGATGTAGATTTGGCCGCCTCTACATCATTTATAATAAGTTTAAGACGCTTACGCATTATTTAGTTGAATACTTGAAGTTTAGACTCCAACCTGCTTGGATCGTACTCGACGAGTCGATCGATCGTTGGATCTAGTAATAATTCCGCTGGTATTGGACGTTGCGAGAGAGTAGCCACATCATCTTCTTGTTTCTTCAAACGGCTTTCGACACCCTCCAAATTTTCGATGATTTTATTTGTTTTTGATCTTAAATCTGCATGAATCTCGCTAATCGCTCTTTCTTGTCTCTGTGTTTGAGTAAGCAATTCGTCGGACTTTGGCAATAGGTCGTCCACCGAATTTTTAGTGCCCATCTAATATTGTGATTATACGGAATATTATTATAAGTTATTATATAGATACACGAGCTATTATTAACTGATTTGCTCGTTTTATTTCACACTTACTACTACATTCCAAACTTCATCCATTTTTTCAGAAACTGTAAGCATCGGATACATTTGTTCGACGAGGCGATCAATTTTACTCTGTTTTATTGGAGCTTCAGTCGTCGTTAAGTTAAGAATTTGTCGGTCATTTCCGGAATTTTTATCAACGATAGCCTCGTGTACGTCAGAAAGCATGTTATACACTGCTCCGAGATTATCGGACACCAAATTCATGTGGAATTGAAGTTTCCGATCCATACTACCTGTCGCCTGTCTGAGATTCTCGATTTCGATCGTCATATGATTCATTACTTCGTTACTCATAGCTTTAGTAATCTCAATTACACTCATACTAACAGGCTTTTTCTCGCTTGCCTCGGCATTTATATCATCATTTTGTAAGAAATTATTGTCAAGCTGATTCTTAAGATTAACTAACTTATGATCGATATCGGAAACCTTCTGATCCAAAGATACTAATTTCTCACCTAGCGTTTCCGGAGCACGTTCGTTGCGATCATGATGCATCACGCGTATCGTCGGAGCTGTAATATCAAATAACATAATGCAATTTCAAGAATAAAGTGCATGAAAAATTGCAAATTCGTAGTTAAAAAATAAACGAGTTCGAAATATTTTTTTCGCGTGTTTCGATAATTTATAAATAGATTATTACTATTATCTGTTGATATAGTGATTTCTGTTGCATGCGTACAAAAAAGAAAAGCAACACTGGTTAGACAACATTGGTTAGTACAATTAGCTTCCCAAATAGCACAGAAAATTCAAAAAGAATTCATTAGACATTTCATGTTTATGTCACAAATTCTAAATTCTTTTTCAGATGCAAAATTTTTTTATAAAAAGAATTCTTTTCGCATCTGAAAAAGCAACTTAGAATTGGTGATATAAACATAAATTCTTTTGGGATTCTCTTTACTATTTGAGTTTGTTAAAATATAAAAAGCTTTACGTGTAACGTGCACTTACTACTTTCAGTATAACTTCTGCTCTTATTTTCAGTAACCCTTGCCGTATGAATGGCTTCCGATGACATAATCGGGTATGCATTGAAGAGTTTCAGATCTAATGTTCTCAGTTTCGTAATAACCGCATCCGTCTTGTCGATATTATCATTTACACGCGAATCTAGAGCTTCCACTCTTCTCATCAAATGTTCCACTGCTTTGTCTAAATTCTCAATCCGTTGTAACTTTGATTCTAAAGTTGATACTATTACTTCGAAGACATTGAACAGGTATTGTTCTCTACAAACAAACAATGTTTATCGCTAATTTCAAATTTTAATGTTTCGTATCATCAATTTAATTCAACCGATTTAATCGGTTTATATAATGACAAAATCAATCCTTTATGCTTTCTTAAATGTTTCAAACTTTGTATTTTTATAAAGGCATATCATAATGGAAAATTTTAATATCAAACTAAGTGGAGAAAAATTTACAATGACAATTAGTTTTTTGTCAAGTCTGGCTAATATACACGACTCGGCCGTCGTTTCTGAAGATGTATGTATTTAATATAGAGTAATATCGCGTGACGTTCACAAACTTAATAACAAAATGAAAACAAACTAAATGGAAAACAACGTATTGACAAGCTTCATATGGGGAATATGATCAATTCATTTACATAACAACGAACAGCGTTTAACATACAACTAGCCTCTCGTCATTTAAAGAAATCCATAATTATCTAGTATTTCTATTTCTTAAAAGTGAGAGAAAATAACAAAGAAATAAGTTAGTTGTGAGAAATATTTGAAGTACGATGATTATAGTTTTAACGATACTCACCTGTTCCGTTGTGAATTGCGAGAAGATGATAATGTAGTGCTAGTATTATTTTGGCTCGCGCCACGTGTACCACGCTGATCAGCGGATGTTCGTGGTAATCTTGGACTTCCCGCTAAGACAAAGCCCAAAGAACACATGATAATAAGCACCGTTTGTCTCATAATTGCAAAATGTTCTGTCAACTGATCGGATTCAATGAAAACAACGTCGATCGACTATATTCGACGACGTGAACGGTGCATAATTACATGAATACTGTAATTTATGTGGATAATATCGAATCGTAATTAAACGAATCTATCGCAAAAATAAATATTTCAGATACACTCTCTACTTTCTTCTTTTGCTTTTTGTCTATCTTTGTTGCATTCGTGTATATACATTTAGCTTATCATCTGTACACTCACTTATTCACTTCTGTCGTAAATACACTTCGATTTTTCATATAATATTGCCGACGCGTTAAATAAAATAGCGATTTAAACTCGCTTATATTATAAATTTTATTTGCACGCGTCTGAAGTTTTTCACAAGTCGGACGTAAGCAACTTATATACACTGAAGGAACGTGAGAACATGTTAACACATTGTCAATGCCACATAAGCTAGGACAATCTCCGCAACTTGAAAATAATATAAGAATAGATAAATTGTGTTATGTCAATGTATAGTTTCCTATCCACACAATCACACTTTTTGGAATCGATAATCACAAGATTTTCGAGCGAAAGATGATATCAATGCTGATATGTGCTCTTTCACATTCTCTTCCTTTCTTTTCTTTGTTTTATTTTCTTTTTGTTTTCTGAAGTAGAGTGCAATCGAGGGAATGATTATCTGTTAAATTATGTCATTTGAAGAAAAGCGTTTCTCTTCAATTGTTCTTTACTTCGTCAAAAACTGTACGCTCGGGATACTAATTTTTCTCACTATTTGTTTGAAGCACTGATCGATTATCCACATGAAGTTCAAATATCTATCGCGCACTCGCTGTTTTCTGTTCTCTTTTCATTTATTTTTTTTCGATTTTTTTTTTCTTCTTACGAATTTGTCGTTATTATATCCTTTTTCTTATCTTGCTGATTGAATCCTTCGAAGATAGACGACTATTATGGACGCAATAAATCCTGTTATTCAAATTAGTATGTCCAAAATCAATTATAATTCGTGAGAGATATCAGAAAAAAATAAATACGTAAAGCAGCAAATTTTCGTAAACTATCGATATCGCACGTGCCGTAACTGAATGAACTCACGATGTAGTAGACTATATTAGAGACGCGAAAAGTAATCAGTTCCGATGTTCGTATTTTTTTTTTTACAACGTATCAATTATAAAACGAATACCGCTATGTCGGAGCACGAATATAGGTATATCTCACGAAACAGGCGAAACACGCTATGGCATAGCACGTCGATTGGTTCGTTCGTTGGTTGGACAGTCGGTCGATCGGCCGATCGCGGATAACCGACGAGAGCACGCAGTTTCGGTCAACTGTGAGAGACTTACTTTCACATTTAAGTGCCCGCGCGCCGAGCGCGAGCGTGAGCTCGAGACAGTCGCTCGCGACAACCGCACGGAACCTTCTTCCCCTCCCACCGTCTGTCGGTTCCATTCCTTTTCAACTCAGCCTACAGTCCTTCCTTGGTCTCATTCTCGTCCGAGTCCAGTCTCGGTTAGCCTGTACAGGTGGCGGTGAGAACGGTGAAAGGGTAGGGTAGGGTAGCCGGCCAAGAATCGCGCGCGCGCGGGGAACCTTTCCCGTGACTACCGCATAGACCGTGCGCAACGAGTTGCGACGGAAACCTTTGCAGAAACGAAACCGAGAGTACTGCCGCCTCTTCCCTCCCGCCCCGAATGAAAGGAAACCGCCGTGAGGTCCGTTGCGTCGAAGCTGTCCAATTATGAATTTTCATTCAGGAAACATACCCACCCGCTCTCTTACCCGGTCGCCCGCTTGCTTCAAAATTTTTTTTAATTACAGTTATTAATCGTTGATCGTGACAAGGGAAAAAAAGATTATCGGGGAAAGTTCAAATATATATGATCCAAAAATGATAAGAGGATATAATATAGTCTACTACATCGTGAGTTCATTCAGTTACGGCACGTGCAATATCGATAGTTTACGAAAATTTGCTGCTTTAAGTATTTATTTTTTTCTGATACCTCTTACGAATTATAATTAATTTTGAACATACTAATTTGGATAACAGGATTTATTGCGTCCATAATAGTCGTCTATTTTCGAGGAATTCAATCAGCAAGATAATGTGCTTTTTTAAATTCATCCGGCTTCGAATGATGGAAGGCGCGTCATGGATGTACGAATAAGCACAAATAGTCTAATTTATCTAATACTTTCATGATCAATAATAAAATATGCGATCTACTTCGTTAAATACTGTGCAACAAAAAATAAGTTGTCTTGTTAATATCACCGTTCACACTAAATTATTTAAGAGAATCAATCGAGTGATCTGACATACTAATTTCATCAATTTAACTTCTGTGTGTTTGTGTGCGTGTGTACATATGGATGTGCATGTGTATGTGTCAATGTCCATTAATTTCTTACGAGAGTTCGATAGTAAATATTTTATCATATCATTTATAGTAATAATACAAATGATTGGAGCACAATCTATATTTATAACGTTCAAGAACGCAATGATGATTAGCCGTGAAAGCTTTTTGATATAAGTGAAAAATTGCATAAGGTAAAGATTTTTCTATAATAGCTAATAAATAACGGCCGCCGCGCGGAATGCCGTGATCAACAATGCGTGTCGAACGTATCGGAATTCCGAAGATCGTGCTACGAGGATAAAGATAACGAGAGAAAGTAAAAGAAACGTTAGGAACAACGTTAAAGTGTGAATCGGACCGATTATGAAGAAGTACACATGGCAGCAGTAAGAATAAGAGTGAATGAAAAAAGGAAAGAGAAAAAAAAATTTTTGAAATGATGGTGTAAGAGGCGAAACGTCATTGATTTAACGTGACAATCGAATGGATCGATTGTTACACCGTTTATTTGTGCCCAAGCGGATTATAAAAGGAGGGCGAGCAACATTGAAAGCTGCAAGCGAGGTTTGTTCGTTTATAGCGAGGATACTGGAGTAAGGCCAAATCACGAACCGCGACAGCAATCGGAGAACGGTTGTATTGCCTTGAAATATTCGTGCCCACTGTGATACAGTCTCCGCGATTATTATGTACTCTCAATTTTGCTGAGCAATCAAAATCAGAGGGAAAAAAGATCAGAAAGCCCTCGAAAGACTGCTCATAAGATAATTCAAAAGGTACATCGCTTCTCGATGATATCAATTATTTGCGTCGCGCAGTTTCATTAACACACATCAGATTGATGTATGTAATTCCGAATTAACATCAAGTTACATTTAGAGTTTTTCTTATTTTCAGTTTTGACAATACAACGAAGACTTTTTAGACTTTATTCAATTTTGATCTTATTGGATTCCACTATCTAAATAGTGACTACATCACACTTTCGAAAACGAAAGTGCAACGTATGAAAGTCACGATTACGTAAGTATAAGTTAGTACAAGTTGGTAGATTCATAAATTATATAGGGTCCGCGTATGTGGCGAGCGTCTCAGTACAGAAATGTAAAAGATCATTGCCGAAACCATAGGACAATCGTAGAATAGACATACCGATTATTCAAAAATTGTGCCTCGTAATCGATTTATTGCCTCTCTCGTATCTTTCATCGATTTTCTCTCTAAGTACTTTCGTCTTTGCGATACGATCAAATAAAAGATCGATATTAATAGTTCTCGTTTTCTGTTTCTTTTCGAGAAAACTTACTTTTAATTAATCTTAAATTTACATCTGCATATTTCTTTTTACAGATATTTAAGTGCGCATAAAGCAGAACAAAGAACAATATAAAATAACCAATCTATCAATGACAAAATCTTCATGCATTTGCCGCGCTCTACATGTTATGCTATCTCAAGCAGGGACTATTATAGAAAATACCGTTTCTTGAAACTGGAAACGGGTAAAGGCACTTTAATTGGAGAAATGGTGGTCAGTATCTCGCCACGCCTCACTCCTCTCTTTTTCTTCCTTTCTCTGTTACGCATTTACTGTAAAAAATGACTGGTGGATATAGGCGACATACCGTACTTACTGGCCTTTCGTTTCAAATATAATCAAAAGTATAATCAAAAGATAAGCGACCTCTTTAACAAGTATACACGAGTAAAATAATGTTAATATACATGTAATAATGTGATAATCTATTCGATTCTTCGAGATGTATATTATCCAAATAATGCTTTAATGCTATAATGCTCTAATAAATCCACGATGATTTATTGCGGAAGATAAGACACTCTGATAAAAGTTATTAAAGTCTGTCTATGTATTTTTTAAAGCTTAACGTCACAGATTAGATTAATAATTTTTCATTTAATTTCAATAAAATTATTAATATTTCAAAGAAATATTAATTTGAAACTGGCTGAGAACCTCAATTATTACAATTTTAATGATACCAATTCAATTGAAACGAGAATTATCGTGAGTCAGTTATAATGAATTATTTTATCTTTGTATCATTACTCAACAATGACAACTGATAATATGACGTACGTGATAACCTTGTAATAAAAGCGACGCTTCTCTGCTGTGTTGGTAGTAATCATCGTGCACCAGTGAGAATACTTATAATAAGAAATATCATCATTTGCATCGTACGCGTTAACGATATACAATATACAGAGTGACTTAAACATTATTAACTCAATAAGACAAATAATATTACAACGCTTTCTGTAAAAATATTAACTATCAGAAATGGCTGAAAAGGAAATCGTTTTAGACAAACAATTGCTCGATTATCTACGAACATACGTAAAAAGTATAAACTTGGAAGCTCCCGAATTTTATGTAACCAGAGCTTGCAATAAGGGTGACAATTTCGCTGGACTTGTTTATTGTGTGAGAATCGAAGGTATTGAAAATGGCAAGTCCAAAAGTATTCACGTTATTTTAAAGACACCAAATCTCGAATCACAAAATCATGTGCAGTTTATGAGTTTATTTCACAGACGTGAAGTATTCTTCTATCGAGAAGTATTGCCTATTTTCAAGAAAACTTTGAAAAAACATGGTGGAATCGCAGATTTATTTCCCACGTTTCACGGTGCTAATGAGGAATCCGAAAAAGATGTAAGTCAATGTACAGAAAAAAGTTTAAATATTTTTTAGGCAAAATACAAAACTCAAAAGAATTTAAAATTATTGTGATTAAAAAGAATGTTATTATAAAACGTGAATTATTTTATCATTGCTGATAATTATCTTTGTGATGTTTAGCTGTTATCGGACTACCGTCCTTCCCGTACAGTCGAGAGTGAAATGGTTTGAACACATTTTTCGTAATAAAGTAAATAACTTATCTAGTTCTCATATTTGAGAATTGCTTACGGACTTCCCTTATAGAAATATCATACTAAGTATCATTGATAATTACTTATTTTCAGTATTAAAAATACTGGATAATAAGTAATTATCAATGATTCTTAGTATGATATTTCTATAAGGGTTAGATAGTAATCGATTATAATAGAAGCTGAAATAACAATATATAGTGCAAAAGTAAATCTTATTATAACGTAAAAATATGTTAATATATTCGAGAATATTCTGGATTAAATTGTTGTATTAGTGCTCGAAGAATTGAAAAATCTTACGATTCAGATATAAAAAATATTTGATAGCACAATAAACTGTAAAACTAGAAAAAATATAAGTATAAAAGTAAAGCAAGAGAGAGGAAAAGAGAGCGTTACTAACATCACTAGAAAAAAGTGTTCAAACTGACTGTACATGTTCGCGAACTGACTGTTCGCTCTCGACTGTACATGTTTACAAAGTGTTGCATGACATTGTTACCAATCGTCTCGATAAGATCTATAGATTAACAAACAAACTATATACACATTTTTACAGCTATAAAACGTATATCAATTTCTACAAATACTATATATTTAACCATGAGTATATATTATACACATGCGCATATATGTACAGTCGAGAGAGATACGATTTGAACATTTTTTTCTAATAAAATTAGTAATCCATTTGTTTGTCACATTTAAAAATTGTTATTTACGGACTTGTAGTAATCGGTTATGAAAGAAATCGAAATGACAATACGTAGTGCGAAATTAAATTTTATGAATATAACATAAAAACATGTTAATATATATCTGAGTATTCCGGATTAAATCGTTGTAATATAGTGCTCAAAGAATCATGTTCAAATCAATTAAAAATAATGTACTTTAATAAGAAATATTCAACAGCACAACATAAATTGCAAATCCAGGAAAAATGTAAGAATTAAAATAATATAAGAGAAAGAGCGAGAGAGGGGGAGGGGGAAGAGTGAGAGCTCTCGTATTATTTTCAAATGATTTTCAAATGTGATAATTAAACAAGTTACTAACTTCACTAGAAAAAAAGTGTTCTAATCGTTTGGTTCTTGATTGTAATACATAAAGTTGTCTTTGAAAATATCAAATAAAGCATAGTCCGGTTTACTTTTACATTACGGTATTACATTACTTTCGGTAATGATTAATCTGCATTTAAGCGCTAACGAAATGACTCGTTGTATTCGAGCAAGTTCATTGTGTAAAATACATCTTCAAAAATATGCTAAACAGTGCGGCCAAACCGCCGTAGGCATTTAGCCCCATTTTTTGAAAGTTTGAAAATGGTCATAACCCATACAGCACAAATCTTTAAATAACGTTCTAAGAATGTTCTAAGGATATTCCTACATTCTAAGAACATCCCAGAACATTCTCTGAAGATTTTGTGCTGTCTGGGAATTTTGATATTTTCTGAAATCTTATTGCGAGTAGATTCGAAATATAGTATAAAGGTGGCACTCTATACCATCATTTACCCGGCAAACACGGAATATAACTATCATATAACATAGAAGTAACACATAATATAACGGATGTTATACGTTATTAATGTTAAAGTTACATAATTTTCTTTTATACTATATTTATACTATATATTTTCTTTTTAACTGCAATCTAACTGTGTTTTAGAAATGTTATAATTCTCTATTATTTACAGATTATAATTGTATAACACCAACATAACTACAATATAACAGATTATACAACAAGCGTTTATTTGTTTTATACCTATGTTATATAGCATTCTTATATTTAGGTATTGGATCATTCGCTAGATGGCTTCCGTTTGCTCGAGTCTTTCTCGTACATAAAATATGATGCATTAATATATATAAGAACGATGATCACAAGACGGCACAACTATGAAGTCCACTTTTATAGTAAAGTAAAGTGGTAATTTTTTATCTGAAATAGAAATTACTGTTATAATAGTAATCCCTTCCATTTAAATATGCACAGAGAGATTGAAATTAATAAAAATATGATAAATAAAAATAGTTCTAATAGCATAAAATTCCTGAAGACATGTTGGAACACTAGACCCCTAGAATGGCTTTAAGATAATTCTGGAATATCTTTTGTTATTTGGGAGCTAATTAATTTAAAATGGCAAGATGCTTTTATGTTATTATTTTTACTAAAAATATTTTTTATACGAAATATATAATTATAATATTTTTAGAAACATACTTTTACAAATTAATTTATATTTAAGTGATAGCTTTGTGTACAATTTATATTTGAGTGAATCTTTGTGTACAATTAAATGCCTATAATTACTAGAAAATAATAATTTATATTCCAGCTATATAACATTTCAGTAATATATATAACATTTTGGTAACACGTTATATTTCTGTTACATAACGGCAACTTCGTATGAGTGAGAAATTTAAAATTGTAACATTCCCCGTTCAATGCTCGCATTCTAAATTTGATATTTACATAAGAAAAAGGCAATCGTTGCTATACTCGACACTACGATCTTCTGCAATTTTTGATATCATTCTTATCATCTGTATTTATTCGCACGATGGAGACGAAAGGAGCGGGAACTGTTCGGCAATTAAATCGCTCGTGAAAGTACACGATACTCGTTGGAAAACTTGACTTATCACGGTGTATAATATATTTAATATGTCTGATATCTTGACTTTACAGAACGATTGCACATATGTCAAGGTATAATTCTAAATAGATAGAATAAGTTGAATTTATGAGACCTTATCTTGTTGGATAAAAAAATAAGATATCATGAATTAAAGTGTCATGACGAGGGATTTCATCATTATGGAAACTTAAACAGTTCCAGTAAACACAATTATATAACTTTTACATTGTCGTAATGTAACAAAATGTAATGTGCAATATGCATGTACATCCCTTATAGAAATATCATACTAAGAATCATTGATTAATTACTTATTTTCAGTATTAAAAGTACAGTATTTAGTAATATTCTGTGATTCAAATACAGCTTTTAGTACTCAAGTATTTCAATATTTAATGTTACAAATCCTACCTTATGATTGATTTCAATACTTAAATATT